GCCTCAGATAGACAAGTGCTGATCGAGCTTTAGCGATGCGAAGCGAGGCTTCTTTGTTACTAGTGCCGTCAGCAGAAACACAGCTCCCAAGGTAGACGAAACTATCTACCTGTTCAAGTTGTGCACCTTCGAGAGTGAGCACAGGAGCACGTGAAAGCCAATCCTTGAGCAGTACTTTACACTTCGATGGGGCGAAGCTCATGCCATACTTAGATGCTTCAATCGCCAAACGATCTAGAATGAGTTGCATACTCTGGGGATCGTCACCAAGTAAGACGATATCATCAGCATAATCTAAGTCGGTCGCGCGCTCGCCCGGTAGATGCTCTAGGCCAAAATATTAGAAACCTTCAAGAACATTCGACAGAACGTCTTCGATTGCGAAGTTGAGGAGGAATCGGGACATAGAGCAGCCCTGTCGCACACCGCTATTGACAGCGAATGGCGAGGAAATTTTGCCATATACCCTCACTCTGCCGAATATATGAAGGTAAAGTGCTTGTAAGATGGCGGTATATTTCTCTGGAACCCCGTTCTTTAGCAAGCAACGCCATAAAGCAGGTCGATCAACGGAGTCAAGAGCGGCACGTATGTCTAGGAATTCAACGGTAGTGGGCCTGTGCTAAATCTGGCGATGTCCGAGGAGCTAGCGGAGCGTGAAGATATGATTCACGCATCCACGGCCTGGACAGTAACTAGCTTGTGCTTACGGTGGTATGATTCACGTACTGAGGATAGTCTGTGAAGCAGAATGGATGCCAATGACTTGGGGGCAACCGAAATAAGACTGATCCCGCGATGATTTGCACATGAAGTGCGAGCGCCTTTCTTGAAAATCGGGACAATAACTGATTCTCCCCAAGAGGAAGGCACTTTCTCTTCATGCCAAATTTTTGCGAACAGCGCGGTTAACTGGTTAATGACTGCCACACCACCGTACTTGAACAGCTCCGTCGGAAGTCCGTCTAAGCCGGCAGCCTTGAAGCGCTTCAAGCGTCGAATCTCAAGGCAGACTTCCTCTTCGCTGGGTGGATTCAGTGGGACGAGCCAGGGTGGACAACAAGGTGTATTGCATGTACTGATGGATGATGGAGACCATCTGAACTGCGAGTGAAAGCGCTCGGCCCAGCGGTCTATATGCCTCTGTTGGTTGGTAATCGGAGACTCATCCACCTCACAAATGACCTCACTGACACCAGGCTTCCTGAGGTCAGTGGACCGGATGAGTTGGAAAAGCCTGCGAGTGTTACCAGTGAGGGCAGCAGTCTCCATCTCTAAAGCACGCTCAGAGCACCATTTCTCGCCATTCTTGCGTAGGCTTTGCTTGAGCAGCCGGTTGGCAGAACGGCGCCGCTCGTTGCAATCTGATTCCACCGGGATGTCTTTGCGGCATTCGAACAGCTCCAGAGAACGAGCAGAAATCCAATGCTTTAGGGGGCGTCGAGTTAGGCCGCAGCTTGACTGTCCAGCAATGATCACCGCTTTCCGTATCCAAGTCGAGTGTTGTTCCACTTCTTGCGGTGGATTGCAACTGAGTGCATATGCCACTGAAGACTGATAGCTCGCCTGGACAGAGGAATCAGTTAATCGTTTACATCAATATTGCGGTGCTTCGTGTTTCGGGATCCTCCAAAACACATACAGATTTTCGCGCAGACCAAAGCATGATCTGAGTCAACGAAAGTAGACCAAAAGGACCTGCAGTCCAGTACGCTGCCGCGCCATCTGAATCTAATTGCAATGTGATCAGTTTGAGACTACGGATGTGTTAACGAAGGAGGACGCGACGTTGCGGAACGCTTCTTCGTACGCCTGAAGTTAGTGCTCGAGAGAAACAGATGATTGTCTTCGCACAATGTGAGAAATCCCTCTCCATTATCAGAGCGGTTCTCATCGATCGCTTGGTGACCACCAAGGTGGCGTTCGTATGGTAACAGGCGTCCAATCCGTTCATTAAAATCCCCAGCAAAGATAACGACATCCGACTTTTTAGCATTAGTCAAGAGCTGATGTAGATCCCGGTAGAATCCGTCCTTGACCGAGTCGCTACTGCAGTCAGTTGGAGCGTATACAGAGATCACAAACAAGTTACGTCTCTCTTCGCGGCGCTTGTTGGTCCTACATGAACCCCGAAGCCGAACTGCACATAGTCGACTGTTAATCGGGAATCGGTCCAGTAGTGCCGCCTCGGCCTTGCCACTTAGTGCTATATCTACACCAGCCAAACCCGCTGAGGCTGCTTCTGGATCTCCAGGAAGACGCAGGTGATATCTCGATTCGTGGTCACTGGGGGATGCCACTGTATACACACTGCTGGGATCTTGCAACCGGGTTTCTGAAAGACAGCAGACATCAATATCGAGGGACTCTAGGGTGCGCGCTAGACTGGCTTGCTGTCCAATCTGCATGAGTGTTCGAACGTTGAAGCACGCCAGACGGAACGAGGATCGAGGACGAAGAAGAGCCATAGGTTGAACTCCTTGGTCGGCAGCGCAACCGGAATCGCAGCCAGATTGTTGAACACATGAATCGGGTAACGGAAAGTGAGGATTGTTGACAAACGAACAATTGGCATGTGATGAAGTCGCGTGAATGTGAGAGGCAGAAATAGTATCTAATGAACACGTTGTAGTACAGTCCATAGTTTTGCAAGAGTGCGTGATACTACCCGGTTGCCAAAACCGAAGTAGGGAGTTAACTTAAGAGACTCCACCCTGAGCCTTTGGCTAAATAACCTACCCGCAAGGCAGCGGGGCGAACTTAGGACATCGCGCCCATTGGGAGACGCTGACTGAATGTTCTATTGTATACAGTTTACTCTGTTTTTATTTTTCGGCTGATTCGCATGGTATTGTGGCACAATAGCTGAGGTGTTCCTCACCCCTAACATATGTGTGGTAATGTTAGTGATTATAACTTGTACAGAGGATCGCTTTTTTAGATTCAGTATCAGTGTTCACGACTGCTGGAAACGAATTATTTGAAGAAGTAGGTATCAGCAGTACGATGTTGTGCAATACTGACTTGCTGCTCCGTAACCACCACCAGTTGCGCGTGGGCTAAGAATACTGCGGGCATCGCCTAGTCCCCATATGGGGGCTTTAACCTGCGCCCTCAGATTATAGGGTAGGCTTGTGGTTCATTAAGACTAGGGGTCGGCGAATTAATTACAGATGTCTGGCGATAGCGATGGCCTCTGTAATCCTTCACAGACTAACTGGTGCTCGTGAAAGCCAGGTTCGTGAGGAGCAAGCCGGGTTTCGTCGAAGTCGTGGCTGCATCGACCACAGCTTCACTTTGTGTCAATTGTCGGAGCACCGTCACACATATTGGCGGCCCACCGTAGTCATGTTCCTCGACATCAAAGGCACCTTCTATTCGGTTGATCGATGTGCCATCAGGAAAGGTGTGCACGAGAAATATGTAAATATTATCCGAACATTGTAGGCGCGGAGCAAGGGCAAGTGAGGGCTTACAGCAAGCTGTCGCCGCCCTTCAATATCTCCAGCGGTGTGAGACAAGGTTGCCCGTTGTCACCTTTCGTCTTCAATTTCGCTATTGGCGAAGTCATGGAGATTGCATTTACAGTGCACGACTTAGAAGGTGTGGAGTTACTCCCAGGAGAACGGCTTCTTGACTTGGAGTATGCAGACGATATTGCGCTCATCGTTGACAGCTCCCAGACGTGCCGAGTTGCACTGGCTGTCAGCCGCTTCGGGCTTTGCTTTGCACTATCGAAATGCAAAACTCTACTCTAAGATTGGCAGGGAACACCTGCGCTGACCCTTGGTGGGCATCAGCTAGAAGTCTTCCAGAAATTCAACTACCTGGGAAGTTGTATCAGAGCCCTTGGGATCAAAGATGATATCATGAACCGTATGGGAAAAGCTCGAGGTGCTTTTACTGGTCTACGCCACCTATAGTGCCGGCGCGACATCACTCTCGCCCTGAAGGGTAGAGTGTACATGCAGCGGTACGTTCGACCCTACTATACGGTTGTGAAACCTGGCGCCTTAGATCAGCGGACATACAGAGGCTAGTTACGTTCGACCATCGGTGCCTTCGCAGTTTGGCTCACATCTGATGGGTACACTGCATAAGCAACGAGCGTGTTCGACGGGTTGTTTACTGCATGGGAAAAGGAAGTGAATCGCTCCGCACCGTTATTTCACACACCAGGCTCCGATGGGTCGACTACGTGTTACGCATGCCAGCCCGCCCAATCCCGTGACGTGCGTTGTTTGCTCGCAGGGGGTGTGCATGGAAGAAGAGGTGAGGTGGCCAAGCGATGACTTGGTCGAGAGGAATGAAGGCCCTCACTTCTGTGCTGGTCTCGGTTGGAGCGTCGAGGCTCCTTGCTTGGAGTCTGAAAGGCGATGAACACGTTTGGCTGGATACACTTGCTGACAGCTAGAAGCCGACCATAGTGACGCTCCCGATGTGAGTTTCTTTGTCCCTCCCCTTCCCTTTTAGCCTCCCCCTCCATATACGATCTCATTTCGTAGCGTAAAATATAATAATTTTTCTTTTTACCTAGTAGCCGGCTGGTAGCTATCCGTAACGATGCCCATCCGTTGTTGGTAGCTCAGCTGGCATGCAATTGTTGTATTTATTTTCTTTTTTTCTTCTATGGATTGCGGCACAGTAGCCGAGGCGTTTTACACCTGTGGCTGGTCACAGGGAAAGGCAAATCCGGAACCTTGATGGCGCCAACTGTGTTGACCACTTTGGTTCTGTCCTCTGTGCGCGGAGATCATAGAAATTTTCTGTTTGTGCCTAAATCTGCATCATTGTGGACTGTTGTGTCAAGGGTGTGTAGGTCACCTCATTGCTACGTTTTCGGCTCGGATACTATATGGCCAATCACGAGGAATTTTGTTTTGAATGATCTTGCAAGCATTCGCGAGTAGCATAGTTTGCAACGCATTCATCCATACCACGTTCTCTACTGATCCCAATGTTATTCTCATTGTGTTCACTTTTGATGTTTTACCAATCAGGTTTTGACCTTCGACGATCACCCGACCTGCTTTTTGACCTTATCGCATGATCAGTCAGTGCATTGGTTTGACACTCGTGAACCGTTTCCTTTTACGCGCTTTCGGTCGGTTTGCGGTCACCATTGCTCCTATGCAGGTCATTCGAGTGCAGGGAAACCTGGTGCAAAATTGACAGAACCAGGCCAAATGCGCTTCCAGTTTCCTGTCACAGCCGGCGATGTACACCCCATGCATGGAATTCGTCAAGTGGCACTTGGTGGCGCAGATGGATTTGTTCGGTTGTTCGATCTACGGCGTTTGACAAAGTCAGGTATTTGTTGCACTGAACTACTGTTGATAACTCGAGCATACCTTTTTTCGGTTTTTTTGTATCTAAGGAGCTCACGGTTTCATCTGCTGTTAGCATAGTATACTTATACTTCCCAGGAACATTGATATCCTTCCTTCTGTATCCTCTGGGAGCACTGACTCCTTGAGTTGGATTACGCATCGACTTCTCAAGTTTTAGCACGCCGGTGTCACTGTCGTAGTTTACAATAGTTTACAAACCCGCCAAACAGTGCTGAACAAGTTAACACTTCCTGTAGCTCGTTTCTGACTTTGCTTCGCTTCGTCCCAACGCAACCCTTTCTCTCTGGATTGATAATGACCAACTGCCATACTAACTATTGGGAGAAATCAAGTAAAAGTCGCTCCGAAATTCATCTATGTGGCAGCTATCTCAGTCCCGTGTGATATATATATATATATATATATATATATATATATATATATATATATATGGTTGGCGGCATCCGGTTTCGGATTTGCCTGTCACTGTGGCAAGCCACAGGACGCCTGCGCCTACAGAGGGACCATGGATGGCTTGCGCTGCACCACCCACAGCTCCAACCACACACCCCATATCCAGTGTAAACCCGAAGGAATAAGACCAGGAGGCATGCGGATGGGAGCCACGTTTCATCAACGGAGCCGGCCCACACTCCTTCACAGGCAAACACAAGCACACTGTATTTGGGGAATCAAGTGCACACAAGGCGGTGGCTGGACAGTAGTCCGCTCCACACTGAGTGCATGGAACCACTCTTCGAGCCTAACACGGCCACAAGGACCGTGCACCCCGTCCCCTCTAGCAACGAGCAACTGTCTCCTGGAGCCAGTATGGACGAAGTAGTGGGTAATAGACAGGTAGGCACCTTGTCAACATGCACATCAAGCGCAGCCACACCGGGGATATCAAACAACAGCCAATCACTTGAGAGAGAAAGAAAGAAAAAGAGAAAAACTCGATTAATGCATAAGGAAACGGTGACATAAACCTTAATTAAATAGCATACGTAATAAGTTGTTTACAAACAAATCCTAGCTAAGTGCACGAGCTCAGGAAGTATAGTTCACGGAATGCCACGAACACAAAAATGTTATGGAAATCGAATACAATTGGCTGAAGCGATGTGTGCAAGTTAATGGAATAGAGTATAGGGAGATATTTATATGAGAAAGAAAAGCATTAAGGTAAAAACTGTAAACCCACCACCTGAAATAAAGAGACTTAGCATGCAAGCACGCGGTTAGTAAATCGAATTCAGCGTGCCTACAAACGCTGCGCCGGCTCGTCGTAATTCTCTGCAGGACCCGTCGTCGCTTCTGTAGTGGCCCGAAATGACACAGGGCATGGCCCACTAGACATTTATATGAGAAAGAAAGGCATTAGGAGAGAACCGAAAACCCACCACCTGAAATCAAGAGACTTAGCATGCAAGCAGGCGGTTAGTAAATCGAATTCAGCGTGCCTACAAACGCTGCGCCGGTGCTGCCTACGTTCACTGCGGGACCCGTCGTCGCTTCGGCAGTGGTCCCGAGTGACCTCTCTCATGGCTCACTAGGCCTGCCTGACTAAGGCACTCGCGACCGCATGTGCTACAGCACAATGCGCTCGATGTCGATGGAGTACAATTCATCGGTGCTTGCCGCTTCCGCAACTGCCGCTTCTTCTCTGCATGCATGAGGGATTTCTCCCGCACTTCAGCAACTGCCTTCGTGATTAGATCGCGCCATGCACCACGATCAACCGCCTTCGATTCCCATGATCTGCAATCAAGATTAGAACGTGTGAGGCTCACTTTAATCATGTCCTGGTAACGTAACTTTGGTTTCCCCACGTGCCGCTTCCCAATACTCAACTGACCGTATAAGAGTTGTTTCGGTATCCGCGTCGAATCCATACGGCTCACATGACCGAGCCATCTCAGGTGTCTCAATAAAAGTATGCCGTCCACTGCATACA